AATTAATAATAATAATTATAATAGGAAGTTTTTAAGCACATAGGATGTTTTTTGAGCCACACACTTCAACCGGATGTGGCGTTTTTGCAATCTTGGGGCGCCTATTTGACCATTTTTTTTCCGCAAATCGTTTCCTTGAGAGAAAAGACACTAAAGAATACAAATTTGGTACCATCAAGGCATTTGAAAAGGGGTAAAGGATTCACTTCCGGTTGACATGCATTACTCAAAAACGTCTTTGCTTACGCATCCTTATAATGAAACAAGAACAAAAACGCGAAGCAGGCGCGGATCTAGGATTAATACTGACCGATTTCCTAAACGAGCGCCGAAGGTGCAAGCTTTTGTGGGGTCCGGGGGCATGTCCCAATGGGAAATTTTTTTATTATTATTTTAACTTCCCAAAGTCCCCTTTCTTGGGTTTCTGAGTCATTCAGACAGGATAATTTGGCCAGTTCCTTCTTCTCGGATGAAGCCTTGCAACTTAATAATCTATTATGAAAAATCTGACCGATTTCAGTAAAACAGTGGAAACTGTGTGGATCCGCACCTGACAAGCATGTAAAGCACGGTTTTTGGTGGAAAGTGCTTATTACCATCGCACGACTAATGTTCTCACACGTGATGAGAATGGCAATGCTGTTGTCGCTTTTATTAAAAAAAAAATGGCTTAGTTCATTTATGCATTTATCTATAAACTAGCCTTTGATCAATGATCTCCTCCTCATGTTCAGACTTGATTTCACTCAGTAAAGCAGGAATTAGTTCATCTTCAAGTAAAGGTGCATCCAAACGTTCAGATGGTCTCATCTTATTCAGCATCGTCTTTAGTTTATCTGGCGATATAGCACACTCGGCCTGCTTTTGACTCAATTCTTTCATCGCTTCAACGTACTAAATAAAAGAACAAAACCTTTGAAGGACAAATTATAAACATTTTTAAGGATAAAATGTAAAATACATTTGAACGCACCCATGTGCGATCACCTCTCATAAGCGATCACCTTCCATAAGCGACGATCTATCCAAAAACATCAAAACTTTTCCCAATCAAAGCCATGTAATTATTTCCCATGCATTCATTTGTACACACATAACCTATTACACTACTACCAGGCAGGAGATCAAGCAAGCTCTGTTGAGCTTTTAGACGATCTCCACTTTATTCTAAGCAGAAAACGACCACCTCCAGGACCACTTTTGGCCGAGACAGTTTTGTAATTTTTAACCTATTGTAGGCGACCAACTGACCCGTGGTCTAATCTCTATGCTCACAATCAGTACTAGGCTTCCAAGAGTATACACAACTTTTTTAAGTGACAACGTGGAACCTCACATATACAAACTGGAAGTAAACAATCTTGGCTTAAAAGCAAATGTCTTGGGACCTCTTCTCGAAAGAGACTCGTATAGTTCGATACTCCCAGGCAACCACCTAATCTTCGCACCTTGGGCGGTCGCTTACCGGAAGTTCGACTGTGAGGGAATCCATGAAAGGGAGTCCTAGCCTTGGATTCTGGATTCTGCGGTGTGGATTCTGGATTCCCGGATTCTGTGCCAGTAGAACTTGGTTTCTGGATTACTGGCAGCAGGATTCAGGATTCCTTAGAATGTGTTCCGGATTTCCAAAACCAAGGATTCCGGATTCAACAGCAAATATTGCTGGATTCCGGATTCAGTCAAGTTAAAATTTTCCGGATTCTGTAATCCGGATTCTCTTTCATGGGACGACTCTCTGTAATGTTATGTAAAGCGATGATTTGGAGTAGAGATGAAAGAGGTTCATTTTTCTTACTATGAGCATGAAATCCTCCTTTTTAACACCTTCGTTTGATCCGCTCGCAAACCCGATAATCTCTCCCGGTATTGAAAAAGCTTTGCTTTGATCTCACTCAATCCACCTTGATCTTGAAACGAGAAACACGCCCTCTTCTTTGATCCTTGTAATTTTTGTTTCTACAAAAGAATAAACCAATAACTCAGTACTAAAAGGTTGTTCTAATTGTAAAAAAAAAGGAAATGTGCTTTTTATTATTAACCAATGAGCTAAACCAATTGCAGGTTACTTCACTATTAAAAAAGAACCGATAAAGTCTTTAAGTAAAATTCCAATTTCACCAACCCTGGGTTTTTCTAAACTCCCCCTTACTGTGCTTTTCAAAAACACGTGAATTCTGAAGTTCAAAAGCCAACTGATGCTTGCGTTCTTCACGGCCGTTAATCATCTTAGCGGATCTCTTAGAAAACAGAAGTTTGTGATTGGTGGATTTCGATCTGCTTTGTGTGTCTCTTCGTGGCTTCTTTGCTTGTGATCATAATTATGTTGACGGCAGCCAAAAACACAATTGCGAAGACAGCTTTTGAACTTCAGTGTTCGGGTCATCATCATTTATAATTTATTATTGAGTTTACTACAAAGAAAAAACGCAAAAAGGATCATTTAAACCGTAGAAGAATTGTATTTTCACCTTACTGAAGGCGTACGCTGAGTGAACTGACGTACGCAACAGGACGGAAGAGGGAAGAAGACAGCAAACCTTAATGTGTGACAAGCATGACAATAATTTTGTTTGAAAAAACCTTCCGCCAAACTTCACCTTCTTTTAAATAGATCTTTTTTTGTAAAAGACTGGAAAAAAATTAGTAAGTAACAGCCCTGTCACTTGTCACACCCAAGCATTTTGCCGTCCTCTTTTTCCTGCCGTCTTGTTGCGATGTGAAAACAATAATTTGCCATTACTTATAACAGAATGTGAGTTTCTCGCCCTACCTTCTGACTTGTTTCCACACGATCTTCGTCCTTCTTTTTCTCTTGTTCACAAAGATCAGCAGCAAGACTAGAATTTTTGCACTGAAACAATAACAATAACAAATAGGTTTATCTCTTTTTTTTTTTTGCAAGTTGTGGTGCGTTCTTATTGTTTAGATTGAATGAAGGGTTAGCTATGCTTCATTATCATTTGAACCATGCAAAATGATATCATAAAATCATAAGAATGATGAATAATAATATTTTTTGATAACATCGTAATCTTTACAAATAATGGTGTGATGAGCTGAAACAAGTAGCAACCTTCCATGCGTTGTCAAGGTGAATTTTACCGGGTGAGATAACTCAGGATAACTATTAGGGTTATAGGAAATATTTTTCAAAAGAAGGAATTTTTTAATTCCTCTATAAAAAAAATAGCTGTAGGAGATGCTAATATTAAGACATGACGAACAGGGATGTCATGCAGTGCATGCGCATGTTCTGACATGGATATCCATGGTTCTGATAACAAAGTTAGATTTGGTTTTCAAATCAGGGACACTGCTGCATTTCTCGTTGCGTATTGTTGTGGTATATTAAATGATTATATGTACCCTAGCTGATTCTGGAGAATAAAGAGGTGAGTTGGTTTAAATGAGAATGTCTTTTCAGTTTTTAGAATGAGAATAAATGTCAATATATAAGTAAAACAATCGTGTTTTGAAGCTTTTAACCTACCTTCTCCGGGCTCTGTTCACCGCCAACTGTTTTCACTGCGAAGGTCTTTTACATCCAAACAAACATCTCCAACTGAAGCATACGGAACATGAGCCGGCGTATAAAATCCTCGAACACTCTGTTTTACATTGCGATTGTCCTTTTCTCGCCAATGGTCTTCCGGTAATTGCGATTTGTAATGACACCCCGTTCGAATTCGGACTTTTCGTTCGCGATGCGGCGCGACAAAAGGCGGTTGAAACTCAGATCGAAAATTCTGTTTCAAACATCGAACAATTTCTGCGTAAAGTTGGTTATCCGATTTTTGTAGGACGACCATGTTACAATTGCGCCAATATTTTCATTAAAAAAGGCGATGTGGTACAAACAGTAGCACAAGAACAAATGCGAACTAAAACTTTCAAAACTTACAGTTACCATAGGGACGTTTCATGACGAATTGTCCTGACGCGGCACCTTCGAACGCTTGGAACACTCTGCTCCCGCAGTGCAACAAGGGAGTTTGACTAATAGTCGCGGGTCGCGGGTCGCGGGTCGCGGGTCCAATGTCGCGGTCGCGGGTCCAAAGTCGCGGTCGCGGGTCCAATGTCGCGGTCGCAGGTCCAAAGTCGCAGTCGCGGGTCCAATGTCGCGGCAGGGGAAAATGATTTGGGGTTCGAGGCAACTGAGTGAAAACGAGTGATATGAAAAAAAATATAAAGGGAAAAAAATCGTTTTTATGCATGATACTCTACGGTAGCCAATTTACAGGTTACGGATGTTAGAGTCAACAAAATAATGTCTCAAGAAAAGACGTAAAAGAAAAAGCTGGCCGACTTTTGTGTTCACCGCAAGTTCATTTTGTTTTCTTTCTATCGGGCCCAGTTATCTATGAATTCAGGTTTGAATGTACTTATGCATAACAGTATCTTATTAAAATGTTACCCTGAGTTACCATTGTTTTCTTCTTGTCTATATGAATTGCTGACAAATTCTTAGGGGAGCATTCACTGAAAAATGTGCGATATACTTCATAGACTATAAATCATATACGTTACAACAACTTAAAACCTTTTATAAAAAAAGGGCTAACTCGGGCTCGAAAAGCTACGAGTCTCTCGGTAGAAGAAACGAGAACTGTTTCAATTTTAACAAATGTTTTCGGCAAAAATAAAGAAAACGCTTGTTGAAAAACTTCCTGGTCGCAAACTCCCAAAATAAACTCTTTGCTCAAGTAACTGGAAAGAGGAGGAGAGACGTTGGGCTTTAAGTGCCAGTAAAGTACATTCAAGTGGGTATTCAAGGCATGAATTTAATATAGAAACAAGTAATAATCCACAGCAAGAGGGGATAAAGCTCGAGCTTTATCCTCTCTTGTCCACAGAAAGGAGTTTGTTCCCACTAACGATTGAAATCCGGAATCCAAGTTCTACCAAGACAGAATAGACCATAGTCTCTTGGTTCTACTGACAAAGACTTGAATCCAGTACCTGGAATCTGGAATTACTTACCTAATTTATTGTCTTTTCTTAGCTCTGGTGGAGTTGATAACTTACCGTTTTCAGTGTCTGGTTTACTTTCTTTTTCAGCTTCATGATATCGGGCGTTATTATTTCCTTACCTACTTACTCACTTGGTTATTTACGATGCATGTTTTCAAGATTTGACTGAGACGCACATTGAATGGCTTCCTATTGTCAGGTTGTCCTGGTTGCCATTTAGGTGAAGAGAACAAGAAGTTATATTGAACATTCCGGGTTGCCGTCTCAGTTGTAAAAAGAAAAGCATTAAGCGAAAATCTTGCTTCGAGGAACAGACTCCTTTCTGTGGATTATTACTTGTTTCCATATTAAATTCATGCCTTGAATACCACTTGAATGAAGTTTCATGCGCCTGTTTACATTTTCTTTCAGTTTTGTCCAAAACATTTGTTAAATATAAGAGTTCTCGTTTCTTCTACCGACAGACTCGTAGCTTTTTGAACCCGAGTTCGCTTTTTTTTAAAAAAGGCTTTTAGTTGTTGTAACGTTTATAATCTGTAGTCTATGAAGTGTATCGCATATTTTTCAGTAAATGAAGCCCTAAGCATTTGTGAGCAATTCATCGACAAGAAAAAAGCATGGTAACTTATGGTAACTTTTTTTATCAGATACTGTTATGCATAAGTATAACTGGGCCCGATAGAAAGAAAACAAAATAAAAACTTGCGTTGAACACAGAAGTCGGCCAGCTTTTTTTTTTAGGTCTTTTCTTGAGACATTATTTTGTTGACTCTAATATCCGTAACCTGTAAATTGGCAACCGTGGAGTATCGTGCATAAAAAAGAGTTTTTCCCTTTATATTGTGTTCATATCAGCCTTTTTCACTCAGCTGTTACCTCGAACCCCAAATCATTTTTCCCTGCCGCGACACTGGACCCGCGACCGCGACTTTGGACCCGCGACCGCGACATTGGACCCACGACCGCGACTTTGGACCCGCCACCGCGACTTTGGACCCGCGACCCGCGACTATTAGTCAAACTCCAACAAGGAACAGAACGAGAATGAAAAGCGACGTCGAAAAAAAATAATGGTCGGGTGAAAAATAGAAAAGGAGTGCAGAAAGAAGAGGGCAGCAAAACGTTTGTTTATGGCAAACGTAACAGGGCTATTACTTGCGCGTTTTCTCGTGATCTTCACTTAACGTTGTGTTCTTAGCGGAGCTCCACGCGCGGCGCTTTGCGGTATTGGGTTTATATCAGGCTATGGAAACACGGAAAACGTTTTCTATTGCTTAACTATGGGTTCCTGACAAATCCTAAAAGGAGTCCTAAAAGATCTCCCTAGGTCCCCTAGCCTGCGTGTCTCCCTAGTTGCACAGTTGGGGACCGTCATGATTGCGCAAAGAGAGTCCAGACAATCCGCTCATAGACATGGTAGAGATTTTATTTTCGCGGGAAAAAGTATCCTAAAATGTGTCTTGGCTAACGTTCTTACCGTCCTTACCGCCTCTTTCGTGCCAGTCGCGAAACAATGGCGAGCGATCCAGATGGTGAACACAGTGACTAGTCAGATAATCCAGTAAATAGTGAGGTCGTTATAAATTGCGTAGCAATTTTCTACGAAGAAGGAAAAGGGGGCGAAAATTACAGGGAAAAAAAGTTCCGTTGTTTGGTAAATGGAGGGGAAACGAGGCTGGGGAAATTCAGGGAAACAGTTTGGTAAGTACTATCTTATTTTACTTACTCCTAACCTACCTCAACAATACATCGATTATCGACATTTTCCTGTCCTATACAGTCTACTTGAAAAAATGGACTGACAGTTATCGGACCTTATCGTATATGAGTTTCACTGAAAACGTTTGATAAACAAAGACGAGTGCGATGGTCGTACATGCATTTTTATCGTATGCTTAACATCGACGCACCTTAATTTGGAAACACTATTCAAAAGGCGGATTTTAGGTATAGGAGACTTTAATGTGATTTTTGACCATGATCTTGATGGAAGCGGGGGTATTAAGAAAACGAAGGAATCAGTCAAAATTCTTGAGGATATTTGTTTGGAGCAGGATTTGATAGATATATGGCGTGTTAGAAATCCGACGGAGAAACGCTTTACGTGGAGACAGAAGACCCCAATTATTCAGAGACGTTTGGACTATTGGTTGGTAAATGATTCTTTGCAGGATGACATTGTTTCAGTAGACATAATACCATCTATTAAATCAGATCACTCTGCAATTACATTGTCGATTAACGGTATAGATGACAGTAAACGCGGTCCAAGCTTTTGGAGGTTTAATTGTTCTTTAGTGAATGATAATAATTATTGCGATCTCCTTGACACAAACATCAAAAGTTGGCTCGAAGAATTTAAGGATGTTGTTGACAAGCGTGTCTTATGGGACTTGCTAAAATACAAAATTCGACAGCTCACTATTAGTTATAGCAAAACAAAAGCTCGGAACCGGAGAGCTAAACTTAACGAACTGGAAGAAAAATTGCAGAACTGTACCAAAAAGTGTGACAATGATCCATCAAGACAAAATGTTGAAGATTTAGAATGCTTACAAGCAGAATACGACCAACTGTATGATTACATTACTCAAGGAGCTATTGTTCGTTCCCGGGCAACGTGGTACGAAAAAGGTGAAAAGAACAACAAATATTTTTTGAATTTGGAAAAATCAAATAAAAATAAAGGTTGTTTGCGGAAAATTTTAAAAAGCGACGGAACAATAGCAGTTGACCCTAAAACAATTATGAGTGAATTAGAATTCTTTTACTCCAATCTTTACAAAGAGAATAATAGTCATTCATCATCATTTCTAGAAGACTTAAAGGAAGTTCCTACCTTGACTGAAGAGTTGCGAATGGTATGTGAAGGAAAGATAGAATATAATGAATGTTTTAATGTTTTACAATCCTTTCCAAAAAATAAAACGCCTGGGAACAATGGACTAACAATAGAATTCTATGTGGCTTTTTGGTCTTTGATTGGGAAACCTCTAGTAGACTGCATCAATTACTCTTATGAGTTTGGAGAACTTTCAAACTCGCAAAAACAGGCTATAATCACATTAATTGAAAAAAAAGGAAAGGATAAACGGGTAGTTAAAAATTGGCGACCTATATCGCTAATCAACATTGATGCGAAAATTATTTCTAAAGTTTTAGCGAAGCACCTGGAAAAGGTCTTGCCAAATTTAATACATCCCAGTCAGAATGCGTTTGTTAAAGGTAGGTCCATATTTGACGCAATTAGAACGATTGATGATATTGTGGATTACACCAAACGGAACAGTTGGTCGGGATTTATGATCGCAATTGACTTTGAAAAAGCCTTCGATACACTAGACTTTCGATTTCTAATCAGAACATTACACAAATTTAATTTTGGCCCATCTTTTATTCAGTGGATGCGTGTTCTGTACAAAAATGCATCCAGCTGTGTATTAAACAATGGATTTACGACTGGTCCTTTTCTACTAGGTAGAGGTGTCAGACAGGGGGATCCACTCTCCCCTTACCTCTTCATACTAGCGCTTGAGACCCTAGCTATAAAAATAAGAGAGGACTGCAATGTACAAGGGCTTAAAATTGGAGAAGAAATGATTAAACTGTCTCTATTTGCAGATGATATGACCTGTATCTTAAAAGACAAAACATCTTATACAAATCTGTTTCGTATTCTCAACTCTTTTGGAGAGTGTTCCGGCCTAAAGGTGAATGATGAAAAAACAGAAATCATGCCTCTAGGAGATAATATCCTACAGGAGAAAGACTTCCCAACTCATAGTATTTGTGAAATCATAAAAATCTTGGGGATATATTTTGGTTATGATGATAGACAAAGGAACAACCTTAACTTTAGTCAAACTTTAAAAAGTATAAAGGAATCAATCAACGCATGGAAATGGAGAGGGCTCTCCCTTTTAGGAAGAATACAGATAGTCAAAACTTTCGCTATCCCAAAGCTTATGTTCAGAGCTTCGGTTATACCAGTCTCTAAAGAACTACTTAATGAGGCAAACTCAGTTCTCTACAACTTTATTTGGAATGGGAAAGACAAAGTGAAGCGCCTTGCATTGATATCTGATATAGAAATGGGTGGACTCAAAATGTTGGACATTCAATCTATGATTTGGGCTAAACGAATAACATGTTTAAAGAAATTATTAGAGGATTACTCAAGTCCTTGGAAAGTAATCCTAGACAAACTTCTGTTACCAGTCGGAGGACGTTTTGTATTGCACTGCAACTTTCAAACTTCTAAATTGAAAATCAGTCTACCAGCATATTATAAGGAATGCTTCGATGCGTGGTCGGAGGTTAATGGGAAGACTCCAAGTTGATACGAGGAAATCATTAACGAAATTATCTGGAACAACAAATTTCTTTGTTATGACAAAAAATCGATGTATAGAAGAGATATAGTAAACTTAGGCGTCGTAAAGATTAAGGATTTAATTTCTGCGAACAACTCCTTCTCGTGCGACTTCTCTTCACTTACAAACCCTGAACAAAGATTTTTTCTTATGAGTATTATCAATTCGATTCCCGCAGAATGGCGCTCACTTATTAAAGCATCTACAAACGTAACATCAGCTAATCCCATACCGATTACCCCAACTATTAAGTTGCCAAGTGGTAATGTAGTGCCAATCCTTGATATCTCTCCTAAACAGGTCTATCAAATCTTCTGCAGCAAAAGCAAATTGCGCCCACCGCAAAACAGAAATTATCAAACAAGTACTCAAATAAAGATATTGATTGGGAAAAGGCTTACACTTTGGCCTTTCATTGCACTTTGGACACAAAGATCAGGGAATTTCATTACAAAATTTTAAATTGTATACTCTTTACAAACGTGAAACTTCATTTAATTGGTGTGCAAACTGCACTTTCTGTCAAGAAGCAGTGGAATCTGTCGAGCATTTACTCTTCTCCTGCAGGATATCTTCTGAGTTTTGGAAGCATGTCTTGTCCTGGCTAAGAGATAATGATGTTCATGTTGAGACAATTAATGAGTCTGATGTGATATTTGGAAAATTTGATATTGTACACGACTATACTCTAATTAATCATATTTTGTTATTAGCTAAATATTATATCTACTGTAGGAGATGTCAGAATAGCGTACCTTCAATTAGAGGTTTTATTGCTAGGGCAAGACGTGTCTTCAATATTGAGCTCCATATCGCCAGGGAGAAAAATAAACTTCTTTTTCATTATCAAAAGTGGGAGAAGCTAACTTATGTACTTTGTAGTAGTTGATACACGTAGGTTCGTTAAAATTAGTAGGCATCTTTATTGTTATCGTGGTTGTTGTAATATATACAGACCTATACATATAATTTCGTTGTTATTGTTATCCTTTTTCTTGTTTTTTAAGTAGAATTGTATATTCATTTAATTAATGTTTATTCTTAAGTAACATTGTAAAACTCGTCTTTAATTCAATAAAAAATTTAGCAAAAAAAATAATAATAATAATAAAGTACTTTCTGCAGGCATGCCGTTGTTGTTGTTGTTTTTGTCTTCCAAGAAAGCTTTTTATGTCCTATCTTATGATTTTCAAATGTGCGTTTGTGATATGCCTATGGTCTTTAACTGTTGACATCTCTTATGTGTCCAGGACAGGTGAAGCTGTGAGCTTTTTGCCATGAGATCTGGAAACCGTTTGATATTTTTTGGATGCATCGTCACCAAAAGCTTCAATAAAGTAAACATTTCCGAAAAGAACTTGCAATGCTAATAAAGTTCTACCCATAAATCCATTAGGTCCCATCGTTCATGCAGTTTATACTTTTCAAGCGACAATGTTTTTTCAATCAGGCACCAGTTGTTCAAAAGGTGGATAATGCTATCCATCAGATAAATCTCTATCCACTGAATAGCGCAATTCGTTTTCCTAATACTTATCCACTGGATAATGATTTATCCTGTGGATAGCGCTATCCATCTTTTGAACAACCGGGACCAGGTGTATACCAGGGCTGTTAACCCCTCATGTCTCCAAATATTGAGAATTGATGGGAAAGGGATGACAAATGATGTCATAATGACCATGGCACATGACATCATTAATTGTGAAAAAAACTGCACAAAAAGATATTGTTGGAATTGTCACATTTGACCTAATTGGCTTTCTTCCCACCAACCACATTATTGCTTATATTATTTACAATGGCATACCGGAGTTTGTGAGGAAATGTTTGATGTTAACAGTAAAATAACTCAAACAATGCAAAGTATTTGAAAAAATTTCACTGTCAGAAAGTTAAGTTCTACAAGAAATGGCAAACCATGGCAATTATCCGCGAGATTTCAGACTCTAACCTGGAGACTGGGAGAAATGGTTCAAAATCTGGAGTCTCCCAGATTATGCAGGAGAGTTGACAGCCCTGTGTATACAGTCAAACCCCATTTTTTGGACACCTGCTTAATAAAGACACCTAATTATTACAGACAGTTTGCTTTGTCCCTGGGGAAAGACAGTCCTTAAGTTACCCTTAAGTTACATTTTCTCTGAATTCAACCCAGTTAATACGGACACCTCTCAGTGCATGTGTTAACAGAGAAAATGTTTACAAATGACAGAGTAGTGTGTACAACTGACAGAGTAATGGATAGAACTGATAGAGTAGTGCGTACAAACGACATAGAAAATGTTAAACCGAGAGTCTCTCTCTCTCTGGAGCACCAAATATCAAGAGGAGACGTATGAAAAGCAACAACAAATGATGCCAAATAAGGGATGAGAGATAAATGACAAGAAGACGATGATATGATACAACATTGTCTGACAAATATAATTTTGAAACAAACAGCGCGCCATAGTATGGTTTCATGCCCAGAGTTTCGTTCGATTTAGGCCTTTTCTATTTTGCTATGTTTTCCATTTTGAGTGTATGCAAATCTGGTGTATGGAAATCTAACAATACACAAACTGTCCCAACTGTGTCTCCAAAATAATGGCAAATCCGCAAATCCGAAGCTCATTTGTCTTTCAGAACAATTCTAAGCCCCTACAACGCGATCGGTAAAAAGATTTAAGCTTATTTCACAGCAATTAAGCTTTGGATTTTTAGAAGACATCACCTCACTCAAATGATTTGAGTGAGATGATGTCTCCTTAAATCGATCTAAAAACGGAATCTCATTAATTACAATACCTGTTCCTATAGTTTGTGTTTTCCAAGGATGTGTTATAAGCAGCTGTTGATATTTCGCCCAAGCTTTTCTTAGAATACTCATTACGGCTTGCCTTATATCTTTTTTTGTGTGCGCGCTACCATCCGCTGGAGATCACTGCCGCCATTTTTTCTGTTTTTTATTTCAGCAACCGAGCGGCCCTGGGAAGAAATTTGAATCAAACTTAGGGGCGGACCATTAGAAAACTTATGTGGGGGGTGGGGGCGAAGTACAAAAAAAAAATATTCGCGCAAGGGAAAATTAAATGAAAAAAATTCGTGCACGCCAATTAATCCTAAAAAAATATTCATGCTATGGCCTAAAAAAAATTCATGCAAGGAATTTGATAACGAAAAAAAAATTCCTGCGGCTCGAAAATTCCCTTTCCCCCCATAACTTTTCTAATAGTCCGTCCCTTATCTTATCTTTTTTGGGGAGGGGGGCGGGGGACGGCAGGTGGGCTGTGGGGGGGATGGAGGGTCACTTTATTTTT